CCTACATATGGCCGGCCCATTGCCACTTCAGCTTACTAAAAGGTTGATTGGAAAAAGCAAAGTATTATATGACATACATCCCACTGCTGGACACAGTCCTGGACAGAGTCTGTTATGCTGCATCAATGCGTGTTAGAGAAAATAACATAAATTTAAAAAAATCTTTATTTGTCACAATTTTTTTTTACAATTTGAATGGAACCCTGGCTTCTAAACTAGTTGTAATAACTGTATCTTAGAAACCAGAACATGGCCTCGAATTTTTAACTTCTAAGATATGCAGGTTTTTGCACGACGTTTTGCTTCACTCGTCGATAACAACAACAACTATACTGGCTTCGAACAAACAAATATTTTTAAAATCATAAAACTAATTTTTGATTACATAAAATATATTGAAAAAAAAGTAAAATTATTTATATCTGTATGTAAACAAATAATATTAGTATTTTTATTTTTCTATTGTAGACCCGTATCATTTGTAGCAGAAATTAGGCCAATGAGAGCATTCACGACTTTTTCTGTCACCAGGGCGACGCCACTTAAATTGAGGTATAACTGTAACATTTGACTGATTTCATAGCGGGAAAGTTCATTTGTTCGAAAAACATAAAGGTTAATGTTTCCTTAAGTACTATGAGTAAAATTTTATATTAATTTAATTATAAATAAATAAATCAAACCAAAGATACTCCTAAAGTAGAAAAAAAAAAAGAGTTAAAATGTGCAAAAAATATAAAGGGAAAACCACTGACACAATGTTTTGTGTCAGTGGTTTTCTGTAATATTAATATTATACTCTAGAAACCGTTAAACTTTTTAAATTAACTTCTCAATTAAATGACATTGTGTAACAAAAAAACTTCACCTCAGTGTCAACTAGCGACATCTGTTGAGCGGAAGATTATTAGCCCTCATTGCGTGGAAACAACACTAAGAGGATTATAAATTAAAATTTTTATTTAGTTAATAATTTTTTTCGTAATATTTTCCTCTAGTGGGAAGACCAAGATTTTAGCACATACTGCCATGAACTTGATCAAGATGCTTTATTAATTTTTTTTTAAATTTGTTAAAGTTTTTGAATTAAAAATTATATGTGCTTGTTCACTTTATTTTAACGGTTTAAACGGCCTTAACGGTAACATACAAATATGATTGTCTTTTTTTATGCAACTCGTAAGGCACAGTACCTTTTGAATGGTATAAGTTATTTTTTTCTCCTTTTAAAACAAAAACTATAAAAAGGTTTTTTCATGTTCACGTATCTATTAAATAATTATTATTTTTCCTGGTGCTATTTTAGTCTACTTCTCAAGTTTTCGGAAGAAACATTGAAGCGAAACCAATAAACTAAGTTTTCCGACTATAATAACTGGATTAATCCTACTGCATATTTTTTTTTATATGTAGTCGTGATAGATTTAGAGCTAAGAGCTCGCCGTAAATTTCACAGACCGCTCAGGGTTCAATTGAGTTTTGAATCAATGGAATTTTTAATTGCAATTTTAAAGGATAAAAATGTTTCTAAGACATCATAGTGATTTCTTATATTTACGCGAACACTACACATTCATAAAACAAATTTTACTATTTTTATCGCATTTAAATTTTTTTTAAATTCTCGATATTTCGACGAAACGACGACGACGAAATTAAACGCGATAAAATCCGTAAAAAATTAATATAATAGTTTTATTCAATATTTCCAAGACGTGTAAAGTTTGCCAACACGCACTGGAACAGCGTGGCGGACTAATTGCTCTATAATTTAATAACAGATCTCAGAAATGCGAAGAGGATATATATGATATGCTGTAACTTGGTAAAGTTACAGCATATCATGTACATCCCATTTAAGAACATTTAAGAACATTTAAGAGAGGTATTCTTAAATGTTTTTGAACATAAATTAAATCACCGTATCATCATTGTTTTATTTGGACACGTATCTTAGTAATGGCAGCCGAAAACCAATGTTTGTCCAAACATTTGGGTTCGAATGTTGAGAAATGTCATTATCTCCACGCGTCTGACAATGGTTCGGATACGATAAACTGTTACATCAGATACAGGGTAAAATTGAACATAGACGGGATGCATTGGCAGCATGAGAAACTCCGTCTCATACTTGCCGTGAGTATATTGCCTTTTTCTTCTTTATTTTTGTCATCGTATCACAGTTTACTGCTAGACATGGATCCCTATCATTTTACAGAGTATTTACTGCTTGGTAAGCAGATTGGTGATCACAATACCAGAGGTTAGTGCTGACGCTGCTCCCGTCTCTACTCTGGGTTTACATCAGGTTTGAAAAAGTGATACCGCCACCTATAGAAAGCCATGTAATCTTTTGCGCATTTCTTATAGTCGTTACTTACGACACCCATGTGATTGAATGACGTATGGATTCCCGTACCCATAGAGATACCCATGTTCAACACTAGAATGTATATCGAGGAGGAGGAGTACACTTCTTCGCGCATACACATAATATTTTTCGCATTGAGTTATATTTTCGAAACATTCATCAACTTATATTTCAAAGGTGAAAAGGATAACAAGTTTAATTTAAAGTAATTTAACAGGCTATTTATGTTCACTAGTACGTGAGGGTAATAAGGTCATAACTCAAAAACTAACAGCCTTGTTTGCATATAAGGCTCAGTGATACAATAGCTCTTCATCAGTCATTCAAATAATAAAGGGTCAAAAGAGCGCTGCTTCAGCGACACCATTTTGACAGTTGATATTAGTAATATTAGTAAATATTTTAGTCGATTTTAGTATTGGGCAGTGTATTTAGTTTATTTTAAGTTGTTTTTAAGTGTTTCTAATTATTGCCAAGGCTTGTTTGCTATTTTTTTCTTAATAGGTTAGTTATAATTAATATACGACATTGTGTATTTGTCTCTGTCCTCCTCCTAGTTTTGGTTTTATAGAGCGGCAAAGCTTATGGTGATCATATTACCTTTGCGTACCTTACTAGAAGCAGGTGCAGTAATGAATAGGCTTAAGGATGTGTAAGATATACTTGAACTCTGACTCCCTACACGTTTCATACGTCCAGCACCACTCTCCGCTGGAAGGTTTCGGCCGCTGGATAAAAGGTTGCTACCCACCAATACCCAAATGTCATTGCTTCGCGGAGTACCAGCGTAATGCTGCTGTGTTTTGTATGGTAAGTGTCTCTACACTAGAGACACTCATCATACAAACAGAGAACCAGAGGCCGTTTTTACTGGAAATAGGCATTCCATCTCAGTCCTCAGTGGTGACAACGCATCTGCATTTTGATTCTTAATTGAGGATAATTGAGTCTATAGGCTACACCATCCACTTATCATCAGTTGGACTGTGTGCTCGCTTGTCACCCTTATTCTATACAAAAAAAGGTAATAAAAAGATGAGTATGGAAAGTGAACCAGATGCGAATCTTAAATTTTTGCTGTCACGGGTTTTTGATCACAGAGGATAGCAGAATCTGAAGCATAGTGCTCCACTGTCGAATGCAGGTAGCAATAGCTCATTTATCATCATTACAGTCCTTCACAAGTCCACTACTGAACATCGGCCTCCTCCAAGTGATGCCATAAAACACAGTTCCTCAAGTTTTTTTTATATCATAGGGTGACAAACGAGCACATAATCCACCTGATGGTAAGTGGTTGGTGTGACCCATAGACATCTACATTTATCCTCAATAAAGAATCAAAATGCAGATGCGTTGTCACCAGTGAGAACTAAGATGGAATGCCTCTTTTCCAGTAAAATGGATCTCCGGTTATCTACACTCATCATACGAAACACAGCAGTGTCAAACTCCCATTTTACGCTGGTATTCTGTGAGAGCGTGGTCCTTCCCCGGTCGAGCCGACCCATTCGTGCTACAACTATACTACTAATAATATAGTTGCAGCATGGCTCTACCACGTATAAATAGCAAGATATCCCAGCGAGACTTTATCTTGCCGGTTGTAGACTGTAGGAGAGGATTGAAATGATTTGCTTTAAGAGATGTACTACTTGTATTATTGGAATAATATGTTTCGATCTTGAAAAATATTATCTTTTTATTATATTTGTGATACTGATCCCCATTACTAATCTGTAATATTATTTTATAAGTCCCGGAATCAATATACGAATAAGTGTTGATTTACCATGTGCTCGGCGGTAAAGGAAAAATTGTAGGGAAACCTGCATATCTGAGAAGTTAAAATTATTTTAGATGTGACCTGTGATATGTATCTTTATATATAAAAAGTACGTGTCACATTGTTTGTCCGCAATGAACTCTTAAACTACTGAACTGATTACAATAAAATTTTGCCCACTGTGTGCAGTTTGGTCCAAATTGAGAGATAGAATAGATAGGATAGTTTATATCCCGTTAAGTGACCCTCAATATGTTTTATAGGTAATTTAAGGATTTCTATAGGACAAAGTCGAAGAGGGCAGTACGACGTCTGCCTGGCCAGCTAGTATATATATAACGACGGGAACGAACTTTGAGATTCTTTTGTATGGTCTACATTTAATATAATATAAATTAGTTAAGTTTATAATAACTCAACAAGGTTTCAAATCTCACCACAAACAAACACACACACACACAACACACACACACACACACACACACACATACACACACACACACTGTGCGTAGTTTCAGACATTTTGTCTGTATTTACATATAGATATTGTATTAATCCGTAGAATGGGTGCCTGGTGATCTATTATACAGGTTTATTCCTAGGTTAAACTACACCAGTCTTCCTAATACAACATATAATTATATATTTCTTTAAGTTGTATGAAATCACGCTGTGGGAAATCAAATAAATTTATTATGAAGTAAACGTACGATAGCCGTTTGTCTACCTCGCATTGTACACTCCTGAACAATGGTTCAAAACATCTTCTGTTACAAACTATACGTACTCGCATTAACAGTCTTTATAAATGAAAGTTAACAAACTTGAAAAATCATTTTAAACATGGCTACTGTAGGTGTCATACATTTTATCATAATATTTGTTGTTCTCAGACTATCATTTGGGAAGCCCGATGAACATGACATAAATAATCGTGAACTGTGCAAAATGTTTTCGAGAAATCCGTTCTTTGGAACAGAGCTTGTGGTCGGTAAGCCATGGCGAGTGTACTACACGTGGAACGTTAATTTGGGTTCCAAGTGCTTGGACCTTATATTCAAGAACGCGACTAAAACGGTAAATATTCTACGAGTATCTTACTCTTCTATTTCTTCATCAGCTCGTTACACTCCAACGTTGGACATGAACCTCTACCATCATTTGAAGGATTAGCCGTAATCGGTACGTTGGGCCCGTGAAATAGTGGACACAGTGCCAAGTGTCTCGCATTTTTGGCGTTGCTCTTTAGATATTTTGTATCTGCTGCAAGCTGTGCCCGGGATGCATTACCACATCTCTTTTTATCGAAAAACTTTGCGAGTGCGTTCATTGCAACTCCTTAAATTTTTCATTTCTATCGGATGAATAGATACAGAATCACTTAAACCGACCGTAAATCTATCATTATCATTATTACAGCCCTTCACAAGTCTAATGCTGAACATAAGCCTTCCCCAAGGTATGCCACAAAGCACGGTCCCGTGTTACCTGCATCCATTGACTTCCTGCATGTTTTAGCCTACATTTCTTACCAGGTCGTTACTCCATCTAGTATGGAACTAGGTCTAGGATGCCCTACACTTCGCCTGCCTGTACGAGGCTGCCACTCGTGAACCTTTCTTCCACATCAGTTATCGGTTCTTCTATCTATATGGCCGGCCCATTGCCACTTCAGCTTACTAATCTCATATAGTGAATCTATACATTTAATTGAAATATCTGTCTGTAATATAGAAATAACTGCCTTTATTGTGCTGAGGGGTTATTTGCATGCATTTTTGTCTATATGTCTATCTATCTGTCCGGTGGGTCTTAGGAATGGCATAATCGATTGTAATGAAACTTGACGAACAAATAGAGACCTATACCTGAAGTCATCTAAGTTATATTTTATCCGAAAAACTTGGGAGATTTAAAAAAATCATATTAGTAGATCGCACCCAGGCAAAGACAGGGCTTGTCGCTAGTTGAAAATAAGTTAAAAATATTATTTTTTATGTGATAAAACATAGAAAATAACATATAGTAACGGCCCTCAACTAGATGGTGTGCCGATTTGGTTATATATGCAGAAAGTCGATGGGTGCAGGTAGCTTAGAACTGTGCTTTGTGGCATCACTTGGGGGAGGCCTATGTTCACCAGTAGACTTGTGAATGGTTGTAATGATGATGATGATGATGATTATGTAAAATAAATTGTAAAATTAGTTTTAATTAATATTTCTTACCCACGTATTTAGATAACCCAACGAATTTGGTCCGACATGAATGAGTATCTTGAACATCAGCCGAACTGGGATGCGGCTGCCTTGCTTATGTATGTCGGAACCGCACGCCACGAAGCGCTTCTCTTCACTGATCAGGGACCTGCAGGGAGTTTCGTTGGAGTGCCAAACGTCGCTCGGGAAGGCAGTGAGTATATAATTTTTTTACTTTCACTGCTAATGTTATGAAAACTAATTTTCAAAAAAGCTGACGCATTTCCAATGACAAAGTATTTATTCCTTCCTTTCTCTGCCAGTGCTTAAAGGTTGAAATCTATCAACACACAGACAAAGATTTTTATAAAGGAGAGGAGGCAAACGACCATACGGCTTACCTAATTGTAAGTGACTACGCCCCCATGAACAACTGCGACACCAGAGGAATCGCAGATGCATTGCCAGCCTTTTAAGAAAGAGTAGGTTCTTCTCTTGAAGATCCCTAAGTCGTATCGGTCCGGAAAATTTACTGGTGGTATTCGATTCAGATTGACGGCTCCGTGGCGCAGTGGCTTAGCAATGAGTTGTTGCGCTGGGGGCCGCGGGTTCGAATCCCGCACGGAACAAGTATTTGTATGGCTTACAAATAATTGTTCCGGGTCTGGATGTTTGTCCTCGTGTAATCTATTTTTGTAAACTGCCTCCACGATACAGGAAAAAATCCTAGTGTGGGGGTAACGTTTCTAAAAAAAAAAAAACAAAACAGAAAACAGATTCCACAATGAAGTTGTGCGATGAAGAAAACTTCTTCTAAATTGCACAGTAGTGGACCGCCAATCATCCAGATGGTACGGATGGTATTTCGAGTGTCGTCGCGATGTACGATGGTGAAATTGAGCGCCCAGTGGTAGATACGGTAGAATACGCAAAAAGATGCAACAACTCTTCGCAGCGCCAATAAGTCAAGCCGATCAGGAAGAGCTCGGTCGCCGGCTGGGGATTGAACTGAACTAGATTTAGTCACCCCCAATCCGAGAATTTGTTCAACAAAGTCTTAACTTCAGACACAAGTTTGTTCCGGTACTCGGCGACTTTTTCCCGAGAAATATCTGCTTGGCCGGCGTATGCTGTCGTCCGAATAGCAATGAATGTTACCGGTTCGCAACATATCATTGATATGCAGATTTTTTTTATAGGATAAGGGTGACAAACGAGCACACAGTCCACCTGATGGTAAGTGGTTGCTGCGGCCCATAGACATCTACATCTATCCTCTATTACAAATCAAAATGCGGATGCATTGTCACCCGTGAGGACTAAGATGGAATGCCTCATTTCTATTAAAAAGGGCCTCCGGCCACCTGCACTCACCAAGCGAAACGCAAAGGTAAACCTCTACTTCATGCTGGTATTATGTGAGGTCGTGGTACTACTCCGGTTCGAGCCGGCCCATCCGTCCGACAGAAAAAACTGCCGCGTGGCTCTACCACTGTTAAAATGATAGAAAGATAGAGATATACGAAAATACTCGTAGGTAGCACTGGGTGTCAGATCATATTATGCTACGGGTATGTTCGTAACTGCTTCGTTGATCTAGTGGTCGTAAGCGCGACTGCAGATAATGCGGTCAAATTTTGGATCGCCGGTCATACCAAAAAATTCAGTAATAGAATTTTACTGTCAATACATTATCAATAGTAGCCCGAAGTCAGGAAATTTGCGGTGTTGCACCCTCTTGCTATGAAAAAAGGTAGTCCACCTATCTCGTAGGTCTGCGCCTAATCCCTCTCGTGTGAATCGTATGTCGGTCAGGTATATTGTGTCTGATTGCCGTCTTATCGGCCTATGATATTGAATGAATAGAAAAAGTGAATCTGTGCTGGCACACACATTCATTAATCCTGTCTTGCGTAGATGGCTAGTCTCCATTGAGAGTTGCTACCGTGACCGTCGCAGCGAACGTGTTAGTCAATTATTTAAATATCACCAATGATATGCTAGGGCCTTTGTTGCGTTGGGGTTTAGTTTCAAAATATCAATATCATCAGCAATTTGTACTTGTTACTGTTATTTAATGAACAGAGCTACAGCAATTGACTAATGGTGGTTTATTCAGTCATCGTCAGTCCGGTAAAGTTCGCTATACCTCAACTTTCTTGAGAAGCTTTTCCTTAATCGTCACATTTGGCGGTCGGGTTGACAATAGCAGTACCAAACGTCATTTCAGACCTTGAACGCTGTTGCTTGTTGCTGGTGTGGATATTTTACGTCTGGCGTGATCGAGACATCATCTAATGAAAACAGCGAGAAGGTTCATAGTGGCCTTTTACAAAACCCATGACACGAAACAATAGATATATTATATTGATGATGGATATATCGTCACTACACGGCGTGGTCACGTGGTGAGTGTGGGCAAATCTTTCAAGTACTCCATTCCCGTGTATTTTTAAAACACCAGACCAGCTGTGAAAAGAGACCAGCTCTATTTTACAATGAAATTAATTGTAAAAAAGAGATAATATATTTTTAAATTTACACGTGGTAGAGCCATGCTGCTGCTATATTATGCTTGTAGTACGAATGAATAGACCTGAGGGTCTCCGGTTCTCTACACTCACCATACGAAACACAGCAGCATTAAGCTGCTATTTAACGCTGTTATTCTGTGAGAACGTGGTCGTTCCCCGGTCGAGAACGTGGTAAAAATGGTTGTCATTTTGAATTATAATTATTGATTCCTAATCGATTATTGACTTAAATTTAGCGCTATAAAATCTAATTTACATTAATATTATCATACTATAAATTCAGTGTACTATATATTTACAGACATACCACCATTACGAAAATCAATGACGCTGCTTAAGTTCCAAATGAAGTTGATCCGAGGGAAGTATTTATTGGTCATCGATTGCATTACGGGTGCTATCACCTTGTCTGCGCGCCAGCGTGATGTTGCGACATCGCGATCAGATATAGCTACCGCTGCAGCGGACTTAGAACTCGGTAAAGGTTATCCCGCTTGCACTAAAGAAACGAATAATCATGATTACTGATTAAATTGACAGGTTTTGAAAGTCATTGTGTTGTATCCAATATTTTTTTTATAAATGTCTGTGTGTCTTGTTAAATAAGTTTGTTAATAACTGCCATAAAATTTATATCGCAAAATAAAATAAAATAATGTCACTTATCCACATATATGTGTTGAAGTTACAGTCCACATAAGTCGCACTGTTGCGCACAAGCCTCTTTTCTTTTCGCAGAGAGTTTTGGGGCAATGCAGTCTTAAGTCTATAGTATAAATACATTGATACCTCAATGTATTTATTAATAGTAATAAATACATTGCGGTTTAAGTACGTTTCAAATAAAAAAATCATTTTAATGGATTTTTAGAACTGTGTACAATGTTTTATTTAAACACTAAAATAAATTACGGTATCCAAAATAGTTCTTTTTTTTATAAAACTAACTCACAGTCCACCTGATAGTAAGTGGTAACGGTCAACTTCATACACTAAAGATGGGTTCCCACCACCGAGGACTGAGATAGAACACATTATAGCCTAAAAAAATACATTTTAGTTTGCTCATGGGGGGATGTTGCCATAGTTGCCACGCTTGGCAAGCGGGTTGGCAACCGCAGTATTTTATTATTTTGAGTGGTTATCAGGAAGATGCTGCTGACAGTCTCCTGTTTAATTTTCCCTCTGTCGCCTCGGGATGATATGAGGTAGTGGATATTCTTACACCGCCACTACACGGTTGAATTTGCAAATAACACAAAGTAATATTTAAAAATAAAAATTTAATTTACATTTTAAGTAAATATAAAAATATTAAAATCGAAAAAAGAACTTTTAATAAATATGTAATAACCGACTTAATAAACTAACAATTATAAAACAATATTAACAGAGTACTCGTAGCTTCTGAAATCGGTGCTTAATAATAATGTATCGAACAATTAAAAGCCCCAGCCCAAAGTCTATTTTCTAACAATTACAAGAAGAAATAAAAATATAGCACTACATACGCATTTTGTAAACATTCCGATCAGTTTATTCGATTCGGCGTTATAACCGACCCGAAGCAACCACTCCATAATAGTTTCGAATTTCGAACATCTAAACAGGTTTGATTTGATAATTTACACTGTAAAAAGGAATTTGTAACTCGCTTCATAACTGTTATACGATTCCCTTAAGCGCCCGCCTATAACAATAGAATTAAATATTTATATGCTTAATAGAAGCTCATTTGAGCAAATTAGCTGAATAAACTTCATTCAACGAGGAAAACGTTTAAGATATTATATATTATGTATGTTGTAGGTGAAATATAATTCTTCTGAGAATAAATGGAGAAAACCTATGTAATTCTACCACAGTGAGGGCTATGTCGGTACACCTTTCTTTGAATACCTTTACGAGTCTATAAATTACTTCAAATTTTACGCAATTAGCTTAAACTTCCTTGAGACACTACAAGCTTTAATTTCTGGTGCAACATTTAATTATTTATACAATAAAAATTTAAATTAAGTAATAATAATTTAGTGTTGTCTCTTAGTGAAAAGAGACAGTTTTTTGAAGCATATGTTTAATAAAACTAATTTATCAGATTTTACCGTAGTATTTTTTAATTCGCATCGTTTTGATTACTCTAACATCCTGATTTCAGTTTTTTTTTTTACCTAGAGTGTACTGTCTTTTTATTATAGAAAAGTGGCTATGGTTCACATCTACTATCCTCGGTAAGAATCAATATGAAGGTGCATCGCCTCTACTGTGGACTAAGATGGAATGCTTCGTTTCTTCGTTTCGAGTAAAAATGGTCTCCGGTTCTCTACACGCATCATACGAAATACAGTAGCATTGAACTGCTATTTTACGCTTTTGTTTTGTGAGAAGGTGGTTCTTCGCCGGTCGAGCCGACCCATTCGTGCTACAACCATAATATAGCTGCAGCGTGGCACGTTAAAGCGCTGCTGTGCTTTTATTTAATTTTATTATTTGAATGAGCCCATAAGATGTAAGCACTACTATCTTTACTATTAAGATTAGGTTGTTTTTGTAGGAATCGGTGTTTCTTTTTAACAATGATTTCCATTCCTCTCCTGAACATAGGCCTATTCCATATATTGCCTCATATGGAGATTTTGCCATAGTCGGCACGCTAGGCAGGCGGATTGGCAAACGCAGTTTTGTATAGTTTTGAGTTACAGATAGGATGGTGCTGCCCATATTTTTTCAGTCTGTCTCTGTCGGTTATTATGACACTCACAGGACGATGTTGGGTGGGTACTGGATATTCTTACACCTCCATTATACGGTTATTGTTGCAAGCATTTGTGGTCTATAAATTTTGGTGACCCCTGTGGTCATGAATATATTGCAGGTTACCCACCGCGTCTTTGTTTATATTATATATTTTTAGGCGGGTACTATCGTATCGTATTTCTTTTTGTTTGCTCTATGTATAATCTAGTATATTCACAATCAAGGCAACATGTACAACAAATGAACAACTAAACGTCTTCTCGTCCAATCTCTAATTCTTCCATTATTTGACTATGCCGATGTTTGTCTAATATTTCTCAGGAGCTGCTAAACAGGTTGGACAGGTTACTTAACAACTGTATCCGATTCATCTTTGGCCTGCGCAAATATGATCACGTTTCAGAATTTCGCTCTCAGTTAAAGTGGTTAACTACACGCCAGCGCAGAGATTTCCGAATCCTGTCCCCTCTGTTTTCAGTTCTTAATGATCCTTTCTCACCCCTTTATCTAAAAGAAAGGTTTCAATTCCTTAGTGACACTCATTCTCTCAATCTCCGTTTTTCACAAAGTTTATTCCTGTCCACTCCTCTTCACCATTTTGGGTCTATGTCAAATTCTTTCACAGACTTCTATTACCCTCTGGAACAAATTATCTGTTGATCTGCGAACAATACCAGCCAAAAATGTTTTTAAAAGAAAACTATATGAGCATATCCGTAGCCTACAAAGTTGAGTCAACTTACTTTATATGTTTATAGTTATTTATATATACATTTATTGAGATATATATGTATAAATGTGTGTATTTATTTATATATGTATATGAATTATATATATATTATATATATATATATATGTATATTTTATGTATGTGTTGTATGAACTGAATTATATCATGACAACTTAACTGCCCAAACTCACTCCCTGTTCTACCCAAGGTTAGCTGGTAGAGAATGCCATATCGCATTAAGCTCGCCTTTTGGTGCAATAAAAAATAAATAAATAAATAAACATGTCGTGGTGGTATTTTGATGGTGTTGGAAGAGTTAACTTTCTGAAATGGCAAGATGTTCTCATGACCTCTCTTTAAATGGCAGTTAAATTATCTCAAACATATTTTTTATAGAATAGACGTGACAAACGAGCACACAGTCCACCAGATGGTAAGTGGATGCAGTGGCTCATGGACATCTACATTTATTCTTGATTAAGAATTAAAATGAATACCTCTGAGGACTAAGATGGGATGCCTCGTTTCCGGTACCGGTTCTCTACACTCACCATACGAAATACAGCAGTGTTAAGGTGCTATTTTACACTAAGCTACCTTCAAAGTTATTGATGAATATGAAGATAAAACGAACGAATTCAACAAAGAGATCAATTGCTTAATCCAAGTTGACTGGGCGGTTTTTTTTAATTTATTGTGCTATAACTCTTCGACCAGTTTATATTTTAATCTTAAAATAAAAACCTACAACTATTGTCTTGCCAGTGATGACTTACGGAACCAATATGTGGTCCTACATTGTTGGATATATGAGAAAATTCGGAAGTAATTTCAAAAGATTTAGAGGTTTTTAATACGTCTAAGGGTAATGAAAGAGCAGTTCTGCGGATACTAAGTGGATAATGCGGCTTATAGGCAACTATTTTTATTATTTACTAGATATGAATAAGAATGCAAACGAATTGTTACCACTGAGGACTAAAAAAGAAGGCTTATGATCAAGGAAAATGGTATATTATGGTTCCTGTGTTTCGACCCCCAACTAGATGGCCTTACTAGATGGTGGATGACGACCCGATAAAACATATCTTTGTGGAATTGGTGCTATGAAAACTCAGTAGGCACTAGGGGCCGTGCTCAGTATTAGTCTTGTGATGAGCTATAATGATGAGGTAATGATATAAGATATGTACAACACCAAAATAATAAAAAAAGACATTATGAATCTGTTTAGGGGCGGTGTACCAATATCCACTACCCTATATCGCCGTTTGGGTGCCGTAAGAGGCGATAGAGCGAAACAAACCAGGAGATGGGCAGCAGCGTCTTCCTAATAACAAAAAAAAGAAAACTGCGGTTGTTTTACCACCTGTTAAGTGTGGCAACTTTGCAAATAATATTCCCCCTATGCGACAATTTATGAGGGAGGCCTATGCTGTCACTTTATATGTCCTCTCTGCAGCACAACTTCCTTCGGTCATCGCAACATTAAGATAAAATGTAAACATTTACTAAATGCGATGTTGATCGTGATCCCTGCCCCGAAAATTATATTTCATCCACTTGTAACATTAATGTACACTTACAATAACTTCATAAGAATGCAACATGGCTCCAAGTCGGTAGTTATAAACGAAACACAACCATGTTGCTCTTACACACCGAACAAATCTTACAATATGCAAACCGTACTGTATCTTGGGAACGTTCTCAACGCACAAAACGTAAAATAAGCGAGCGTTGAGCCTTCGAAAAACGATTAAGCATTTAAAATGGGAATATTTAGTTTAGTTTACAGCGACGTTTACTATCTAGACTGTTTTAATGGCTAGGAAGCGGCGTACGGTAAAGAGACAGCCTCCCATTATAAGATTACGTATGTTGCGTTGGCCTGTCCAGCTTGGGCATAAATTATATAATTTATGGGATATTTTTTTTGTGATCGCGGGCTTTATTATGTTTAAGTTACCACTACTACGTGTTAACGAATATAAAAGTTTATTATTTCACAATGTAAAACATATTTTTGTGATAACTTGCT